ATCGGTATCGGTTATCGGCTACATGAGTTTTAAAATATCGGCATATCGGATATCGGCCAAAATCCCAATATCGTGCATCCCTACCTTTCATTTCTCCTTGCCTGTACCTAAACACTACTTTAATCAGAGTTAATGCTACGGTGAGACGGTGGTGGTGCTTTACCATCTGCAGATAGTCTCTGCAAAGCAGCAAAACGTCCGAGCTGAAAGCCAAACTGCTACCCTTTATGTTGGTTAGAAGATTGTAAGCAAAGCCAGTTTAAAAAAGTCGGGATACCTCGCTTTCATGCTCAGGATTATAATATCGGATTATTTTATTTCCACTTCAGTCAAAGTGTGCTTCCTTATAAACGATGCTATCAGAGGGAATAAACATCCATGGCCTTCTGATCACTGCCTGTCGTGCATCGAACCAAACAGAAGCAGGTTGTTTGTGAGAAGTTTCCTGCACAGGAATGCGATGCATGATGGAGATCATTGAAAGCGGTGTTAGGTGTTTCCTGCTGGGGTGCCTTTTTGTATCCAGGAGCCAAGTCCAGGAATGTGGAAACCTGCGGCCCCGCCGATTCAGTCTGCTGACAAAAGACAGTCAGGCTGGCGTTATTAGTGCCACTATCCACACACACGCTTCACATGAGTCTTTTATCCAGCTGCTTCTCCAGTTATCTTTCATGCTGCAGATCACGTGGCTGCTGGGAATTCTCCAAAATGTTGAAAGCGACTGTATGAACTCATGACTTACAACTAAAACACGGATAAAGATCTCTATTATTGTAGCCATGTGTGGGCCTTCTTTTTTTCCCCCCTCTCCATCATTGAATTATGAGGACTGTGTTTCATCAGAGCTGTCCCCCTGGAGGATGACGACTCCTCTTCCTCCTCTTCAAGTTTCTATTTATACACTCGGGAGTGATTCCTGTCAAAATCATCGGGGGGCTGTCAGAATACGCAACAGCCATGGGGAAGTCTTCCCAGCTTTGATACGACACCGTTAAGTGGCTTAAAGTCCCACTCAGAAGAGATTATCCTACAGAGCATCATGGTTTTCAGGAGGGAACAAATCAAAGGTTTGGTCTCCCCCCTCCCACAGCTGTGTCATATACCACCTGGGGAGGTGCAAATGCAGGGGACGTCACTAAATTCATCCATTTCACAGAGTTCCTCCTAAAAGTGCTGGAGATTTACAGTCAGGGACCGAGACGCCCACCCCACCCCTTTTATCTCAACCCGGTTTAGGAAACATCTTAAAAGCTACAAGCAGGAACGTTCAACACATTTTAGATTTCATTTGTTTAAACAGTCCTGTTTTCCTCCTGATATGTTTCCCTGTTTGGTTGTAAATTACTATTTTAGTCAAATTTCTCCTACAAATGAGTTTTCTGTACAACTAAAATATTTCTGGAATATCACGACGGGTTTCACTGCAAAAAGAAACGAAATGAAAAGTTGAAAACAGGTGAATACAATGATCTGTTAATGGAACTAGGGTTTTTGGTTCCTAAGTTATTAAGCAGCAAGTTTTTATTTCTTTTAAAATGTAAATCATATTTTATTCGAAAGTTTTCCGAACTACCTCCTTGAATAAATGGGAAAAAACATATAGGAGTTTTCTGATGGTTGGTTTAGATTTGTTTAACTAAAGGATTAATTTACAGGTTTTTATATATAGAATATGTCCTGGATTATGCTAATTATTTAACCCAGCTTGAGTTTTATGATTCTTTATCTTGGGGTTGGAATCACAAAATCAGCACATTCGGCATTATTTTATCAGATTATCCATTTAAAAAAGTGTAAAAAAAGAAAGTCCAGATTGATTGGATGTAGATTAATATATAAGATGGGGAGCAGTGTTGGGTTAAGGGACTTGCTCAGAGACCCAGAGGGGGAGTCTGTGGGAGTGGGGCTCAAACTCAGAACCTCAGGATTCTTAGCTCATTGCGCTAACAACTAAGCCGCCACTCCCCCTAATCAATATAGTGTTTTACTGATGCAGATAAAGAGAGAACTCTGGCAGATGGTTTTCCAGAGGAACAATGGCTAAAGCATTAAGTGAAATTAGTTACTCAAAGACCAACACAAAACCCTGATCTTAATTTCACCCATTTTTTTTTCATGTCTGAGCTGAAAGGTTTGTGCAAAGGGCGGCCTTCAAACGTGCCTCAGTTATACCAGTTATGTCTGGAGGAATGGACCAAAATTCCTGCATTTTTCTGGAAGGACATCAAACATTTGGACTAAAGTCTTAAGGAAGAAACTTTTAGCCAATAAACCATGATGCTTCCGATCAGATCAACCTTTGGGCCTTATGTGTTTGACCCAAATGAGACTTTATTTCAGTTCATCCCCTCCTCAGTTTTCTTTTTTTTTTATCAAAACATCATTGTAAAACGACATGCTAATTAGAAAACGTATGTTGAAGCACAACAGATATAGGAAACAAATTCAAAAAGAAGCTAAATAAAACATGATTAAAATAAACACTCAGATATAATGATAAATAGCTTAAAGTAGATTATTTTTGGTTCCTTTCCTGATCTTTTTCTGTTTTTTAAAATGGTATTCTATTTTAAAATATGTTATTTTGAAGTTTTTTTGCCAAATTATTTTATGTAGATATTGCTTTGCTAAAATTGGAATCAAATATATGTATTTTAATTTGTTGTTAAATTTGAATTAATGACTTCTTCAAACTTGGAAACAAAATGCAGTGGATGGATTTTTATTTATTAATTTTTCATAACTTTTTTGGAATTAGTGACATTAAAAACTTTTCAAAGAAGTATATCTTTTTTTAAATATTTTTTATTTATTTTTTGGGTGGTATAGCTGTAAGTGGAGCCAGACAGTGGCGGTTCTAGACCAAATGTACCAGGGGGCCAGGAGGGGGCCAGCGTGTTTTCATGGGGCCCCAGAAAAGCAGGAAATTAAAACAGGGCAAGGGATTCAAATATATTAGGAGAGCTGCATGAAATGGAATTTCAATTCAATTAGGTTAAATAAAAATTCTATGCCTTATTAGGTCAATAAGCATTCATAATTTAGGAACATATTTTTGACATTTAAGTTAAAATTACTGTTTTCTATAAAATCTGAATTAGAACTGATAAATTCAGCAGTAAGAATTAGAGCAATTTATTTTGAAAAACAAAAACATTTAGCAGATGAAAACTGGGATCCTGTCTCAATAGCACTGAAGCTATAACCCTAGCCCTTATTGCTTTTAATTAAATAGAAAAAAAACCTGAATTTGTAAAGAAAAAAATTAAATAGATCCAAAGCACCTATCAATAACCTTGTCTGTTCCAGCGCATATCATCATTAGAATTTCTTTGAGTATTATGTCTTCAGTACAGGGGCCATAACAGGATCTAACTGGCCCCCGTTGGCACCTGTCTAGAACTGCCCAAGAGCCAGAAAGGCGTTGCGTGGACACGATCATCATAAAAAGCTCCATGTTTCACCTTCAGCTCCTCAAAAATTTACAATTGTTTCCAGTTTGCAAATGTTTATTATTTTTTATAATTTTTTTTTTTTTTTAAGGTGTGTCTGACCTGCTGTAGATTCGGTGGAGTATTACTGCTAGAGATTTTTATTTCTTCTGTGTCGACAATAAAGTCGTAACATTACGAGAATAGAGTTGTAATATTATGAGAATGAAATCATCATTCAACAACCCATTTCAGAAAGAAAGCTTTGAGCTCCGCCCAGCGGCTGACCAGCTAGACCAATCAGCTTCAGCTGCTTGTAGGAGTTGTCATAAAATACTTCTTTCTCGTCATTTTAGGACTTTATTCTCTTAATATTACGACTTTATGCATGTAAGTTTACGACTATTCTCGTCGTGACTTTATTCTTGAAATGTTACGACTTTATTCTCGTAAATTTGACTATTTTCGTTACGACTTTATTCTCGTAACGTTAGGACTTTATTCTTGTAAAGTTACGAGTTTATAGGGCTTGGTCGTCATGACGTAAGCACTTTGCGTCGCCGCCATCTTGACGGCCTCTTTTACCGCGGCTCAGACTACTGCCTAGACTACCGCATACTGTACTCCTTCTCAGCCGTGTTTTAATTTTATTAATTTCACCTTAACTTGATTTCAACCATGGTAAACTGTTGCTGTATTGTGGGCTGTAACAGCTCAACACATGGTCGCCATGGGGAAAACATAGAAAATGGGTTAACTTTCCACCGCTTTCCTGCCTGGAGGCGTAACCATGGAGACCAAGCATCAGAGATAAAGAGTCGTCGGCTAGCTTGGATGGTGGCTGTAAGACGACCGAACATAACTTTCCACAGTATTCCAATGTCAATGAGAGTGTGTTTCCTGCATTTTGATACTGGTAAGTTAAAGATGCACGGTTTTATTTTATAGCCTACTTTGTTTCTTTCCTTCAAAGTTGGGATCTTTTACGGGAAAATAATAAAAACGGCAGCAGGAAAAGGCTCAAATACGTGAGAAACCCGGAGGGTTGGCAGTTAACGTTACTAACTCTAACTCTGTTTGCTGGCTTTATGATCTGCAGCTCCTGAACCCATCCATTCATGAACTGCACATGAGACTCCAAGGACTTGTAGCTTCGGAACTGTTTTGAAGTATAGGCGCTCACTCATCGGTTCTCCACTCATTGTTTGGAACTTCATATGGATCCAAATTATTAATAATGCTGATTTTGTCAACATACCGGTCCGTGGCTTCTTTATTTAATGTGTCCTGGTAAATTCCAGATTTTAACATCTTTTTTCACTCTACTTCTACGTCTCTTCTTTCAACAACAACTTTGTATCAGAGCTATGTTTACGTTTGCGTAGCCGTGAATATGGCAGCCACGTCCCACAATGCAACGCGGATCACGAGCCCTATTCTCGTAACGTTCCAAGTTTATTCTCATAATGTCATGACTTTATTCTTGTAATTTTATTACTATTCCCATTGGGAATTTTTTCTCGTAATGTTACGACTATTCTCGCTACGTTACGACTATTCTCGCAACGTTACGATTGTATTCTAGTAACGTTAGGACTTTATTCTTGTAATGTCATGACTTTATTCTCGTAATTTTATGACTATTCTCATTGAGACATTTTTTCTTGTAATTTTACGACTTTATTCTAGCGATTTTATGACTATTCTCGTTGCGACTTTTTTCTCGTAGCGTTATGAGTTTATTCTCATAATGTCATGACTTTATTCTCGTAATTTTATGACTATTCTCATTGCGACATTTTTTCTTGTAATGTTACGACTTTATTCTTGTAATGTTATGACTATTTTCATTGCGACTTTTTTCTTGTAATTTTATGACTTTATTCATGTAATATTACTTTATTCTCGAAATAAAAGGAAAAATAAAATCTCTAGCCTGGCCCTCTTACGCCGTCATAGTGGATCCTCCTAATCCATCATGCACTTTTTT